ATCGTTATTATTCACTATAATACAAACGGGAATTGTGATGATAAAAAACTTGTATTCCTGATAATCGCCAGAGAAAATGTGTACTAAAGTACACTTCACTAGCGTATAAATTCTAATGACAAATATATCATCGCCTTTTGATACAAATGTGTCCACTAAAGGTGCGAGTCGATAAACCCGTCTTGCCGGACTCAGATTGTGCGGCCTTGGAGATAAGGTATTTACCTCCAGACCAGCACATCCTTCTGGAGGTGAAGACGAGATAGTGAGGTAAGGTTAAAATTGCAGTCCAGACTGGATGAGAACGACCTTCTGGGATGCAGAGAAAGGAAAAATTCAATGTGAAACCAAATAATTTCGTCAAATCATCTTGGCCAGAATTTCTATCACTTTCTACAAACCATAATGTAAATAGTGCATATTTACAGCACAAGCAATAAAACCTTACATATAAAACGAAGGTGAAAGGGTGATGGATCGTTAATAAAAGACTGCCTTTATTTTATATGAAAGGAAGAGGATAGCAATAAAGGACTAGTGTATAAGGCAAGAAGAATAATTACACTACATTGAGCTGATGCAAAAGTGATGGTAATTGATAGGACAGAAATAGCATTTTTATCATATATGCTTGGTCCCGTAGATAAATAGAAAATAAGTCGACATTTGGCTTCTCCAAAATTACCGCTTTTATGCCGTGAATGATTTGTTTCGCCTTGCGAAACAAATGATGATTCCTGAGGGGGCGTTGATGCCCTTTCAACCTCTTTCAACTGATTACATCATATGATCCGAAGTTGTCTCGGTGGCAGATGGCAATTTCGTAAGATGCCGACCATGCTGCCGGCTAAACGTCCGAGAAAGTGTTAAGTCCACTATCCGATGAGTAATGTCATCGTTGTAGCATAGGTTTTATATTACACCATGAATGTAAGAGATTCAGAGATTGGCCTAATGTGAAATCGAAAAATGTCCCAGAATTTTTTGCCACAACATTTTGACGTCATCCAAAGATTATCACTACATTAGGCCCAAACAAAGCGCCAGAAAAACAATTAAAAAACCGAGTTTCCAAGGCCCGCTCAAGTGGTTCACGCTCATGTGTGTTGCATGTGTTCTGCCAAGTCGGGTGTAAGCACTGCTTACATTCGTCGCATCGGGAGCCGAAGAAGAGGATTCTTCGCAGCTCATCTCTTCAGTACACTCATGTGCCCCTGACGGTCCAAGTAAAGCAGCCCTTTGGATGGTCACACCGGTAGATATGACAAAGCCCAGACATCCCCTGACATGGGTTTGCAAAACACCCTGTGCGAGCTTCACCAGATGTAGTGGGAAATTGAACTACGAGGCGGGTTCTAACCCCACCCAGCCACCCATGCACAAACATGCATACACACACAATTGACCCTGTCTTTGCCCTCGAGAGGCCCACAGGTCCCCATCTTAAATGGAAGTTACTAGGTCTACCGAAAGAGACTGCGTATCCGGGAGAGGGAGCAACATCACAATGGAGGGCAACCACGGCAGGCGGGCTGAAATAATTAATCGGCGGCCCATGCAGTCGGCCATATTAAGGAAATCAGTCCACAAGTAGGTATGGTACGCCATCAGCAGACTCGACCCCATCGTGGCCTCGCCACATGCTGGTAGTGCCGGGTAGGATTGACTCGCAATGCGTCTTCGCGATAAAAAGGTCTGCCTACCTTCCGAGCTGGCCGACTCACTAGACAGACAGACGATTGTATGACTGGATGGCTGAATAAATAGGTGGAAGGTTGTGAATTGCAAAGGGATGGGGCGAGACCGGTTAGCAAGGAGTGTGTAGGATGGGAAGGGAAGTCGCGAGTATGCATATTTGAGCAGTCCTGCGGTAGACCTGACTGCTCCCAGCTTTGAGGTTGAGTGGCCGAGTGGGCCAATTGTCGCTGGCTCCTGAGGCGCTTTTTTGTTGCGCTAGGGTAGATAGACCTTTCAGGCTTGCCATGTATGCGGGAAGAGTAAAACCGAGGCTAAAATCCTCGTTGGAACGTCAAAGACCCCTCCAACCTGGATTGCTCTTGCAACCACCTTAGATCCTTAATTCCCAAAGGCTACCATAAATTCTTTCTTTTGGAGGGCCTCCCTCACCAACAACCATCCTCGTCTCCTTTCCCTTACAAATACACATTCACTCCATATCTTTCTTCAAGCATCTGGTGCATCTGTCATCGGGTTTAACCTAGTTCAGCCTTGTATGAGCATACACATAAAAAATATTATCTCGGCTGTTTAGGCAACCATGGTAGTGCTCGCTCTACCATACAATATAGGCGCACTGAACACAGACCTTTTCTTCCGATGTCGCCAAATCCTTTTCCAATTATTGTCCTATCTCTTTTTTCCCACTTTTACTTTGCCTTTAAGGCAGATTTACACTAGTTAATATCTCCTCGCTGCTTCTACCCCTTCATCTGCCCGTCTATTTGTCGTAACCATTCTATCGCCGCTCATTTTTACCAATTCACTACGGATAACCTCTGAAAATATTTGAATTATCCCATTCTAAGTGCCTCTTGCATTCACCTGATTTAAATCGTGTGTCTGCCTCAGTAGATCAGGGCCCTTCCAGAAAACTCTACCATCTACCTGCATTAACCCTGGCCAGCTTATTTTGGGCATGCCGATATGTAGGGCTTATGCATATGTGCTCCTCTGCTCCTCATTAGGGGACGTGGTAAAAACCCACTTCCCGAATTCATGTGACTGCTTGTTTGACTGAGCGATCACACACAAACACTTACCAGACCGCTTGCATGATTCATCGACAAAAAGCATCTTAGACACGTGGAGATATCATGCATAGATCATAGTCCATTTGACAGATTGTGAACCTCATATAAACAAGGCTTTTCAAAAAAAAGATGGCCTCTAATTTATTGGACAAATATTTCTCTGGTAGATAAGCCGGCTTCATTTGGGATGAACTGCATTGCTTACTGGTGACAAATAGGTTATACAATGCCCGTGCTAATCCTGTTTGTAGGCCAGCAATGATGAATGGATAATTGGGAAAATAAAGGCTAGACGAGTAGTTGAGGGAAGAATCCGTTCGTTTTATCCAAAGGTCGACTCTTCACAATATGCTTGCCTGAGAGTTGACTGAGTCGCAATACAGCCACTTCTGCATACCCATTTGATGGATGTCTTAAAAGAGTTTGCTAAAGCAAGCTCAAGATTAGAAAATGTGGATTATTCTGGTTTGTACTCATTCCTTTGCGATTATAGGGAATCTCATTTTTTACGGTTTGTGTAATTTTCATACCTCGTACAGAAAATAAAAGCCATTTTATCACGGATGGATTAAATAAAATTCGTTAATATTTATTCAAATTATATGTGCTATACATCTCCTAGGGTCTTTCACCTCCAGAGCAGACTGTGATTTCGACCTAGCTCCAAGGTATCATCAACATTGCCAACGGAGTCGAACCGTGACGTTCTCTTCAGAGCAGCGTTGAATTATATGATAATCGTGACTTTGAAAATAATGTGATCCCCTCTCAACTCGAATCTTGGTGGAGACGTTTGCATGGACATGCATACGTATGAAATTACATTTGATATATTACTATAATTGTAGAAGTGGTCTTTACATATTGGCACTCAGATGGATGCTTCTTGACCCGAGTACTCTGTCATAGTAATCCTGATAATTTTTAGCATTGGGCTGCCGACTTGGTACGTTCTCAGACGTTCTCCAGTCATCATTGTCACTATTGTCAATTAGTCTTGGTGCAATGAAAGAAGAAAGTCCATGTTCCGAACCTGGACAGTATCATAACTCCCATGGCAGATGATTCCTGATAAACGTTCAACTAAGCCTCTCTAACGGAACAGCCAAGTTGCAAAAGGAGGCCGCAGCCAAACTAAAGGCCCTAATCTTGGTTATAATACCTTCAACTACTAACGTGATGATTTGGGGCAATCGGATTTCGCGCGGTTAGACTTTACATTTCGGTTAAAAATTCAAGTGCTGAATCATTCTGCGACATTGTTCAATGCGTATTAAGTTTTATTATGCTTCTTGTGGAAAACATTGTAAGATCACACAAATTTGTCTTTAATACCTTAAAAGACCCTGAGGGCATTCCCACTAACTTATTATAAATTTATTATCCAGCTACTTAAGCCAACACAAAGTTTTACTATCGGATCGTGTTTGCCCCCAATTTAAGCGAATATATGAATCGCTTACCTAAATGTTTACTTGACTTCGAAATTCTTAATTGCCTGTATGAACAATTAATATGCTGTATGGCAACATGGCTTGGAAGGTCTAGCTAGATATCTTTAATTAATTAATAGAATAAGTGTGTCAAATGCATACTGTTTTGAGTTATACGAGGAAGATAGGCTCTCATCTATAGTTCTAATTAAAAAGATTTGAGAAATTTAGAGGAATATGCAAAAACTAAATCCACAAATGCAGATTTCCTCTTTACTATATCATTTTCTCATGTTTTTGATGCAAGGTAGGTGTTGATAAAATCAATTTTAAAAAATGGTCTATGTCAGGCAGAAGTAAATCACCTGAATCGAGAAATAGAAATTTTTGTTTACAACACTTAACCTTCAGGAATAACCATTGTCAATTATTTCATAATATGAATGATTAGGCTCTGGGGATAAAGATATGGATTTGTATGGCCCTACTAAATTCTTTAGGTTGCCACTCAGTCAACTTTTGAAAAAGATAGACGAAAAATGTAAGAAGTTTGACGTTAGAAGTAAGCATAAATAAAGATAATATTCTTCCTTGTTGTGACTTCTTTTTGAGAATATTCGGACCCTCTATTCAGAGCGGGCTGTTACGAGGTTTTGAACACAATTGACAGTAGGGGGGGGAATAACTGGCCAATAAACAAGAATTTATCTGAACCCAAAACTGCCATTGAAGATATATGAGTTCTGCAATTATAAGCGGCAGAACATTTGGGCAATACAGGTGACTTCATAAAGAGATCTTAAACCCAAACTTTTTGAGGGCTTTGGGTCTTTCCGTTGACAAAAGACTGGGCAATCTAGAGGCATTAGTAAGATGATAAACCCTCTAGAAAGTGTGTAGGAACAAACTCTGGTTTCGAGTTTATAATTCCTTCGTCACCTAAAACGAAATATGGCGAATACAGCTCTTATAAGCTCGGGTTGTTAGATAGAATAGGAAAAAGAGCAGAATGAATCAGAGCTTAAGAGGAGGATGCATGATTATCCAGGTTCAGTGATACTGTCGAAATTTATGTTTGAGGATATCATTCCCATTCACAATTATAAGCAGCTTACCCATGATGCAGTTCATTTGCAGACTCACATTACAGTTAATGTCTAGACAAAACAGCAAAGACTCTACTCATCTGCACGCAGATGTACAAGAAAGTAACTATATCTATGAAGAGAAACTAGATTTAAAAGAATCCGTTGAAAATTTAATTTGCATTTGCGTATACTTTCAAAGGAAAATGAAGCCATCTGGAACGGTAAATATGTTATTCACATTGCCATTCTGTCAGTTTTCACCAAAAATAGGTGGACTACTGAGGAATTGTCCATAATATATAAAGAGAACCTAACAACTTCAAATAATATGTTTTCTTCATAAGAATTTTTGTTTCCTTTAGCAAAATCAGGTTGACAATAGGTTTTGGCCTTTGGCGAAAATGTCTGTGTGGAGGACCTGCCAAGAATCTCAACTAGCTAAACTCAACTAATATAGGCGAAGTAAAGTTGCGTCTAGAGAAATCTCTTGGTTCATAATTTTTTATCTTTCTTCCATTTCGAGTGAAAGCGTTTGGTGAAGAAATTCGAAGGTCAATACCATCAGAAGACAACGGTGAACTCTGTTTTACCAGTTGATGAATGGCTTTGCTGGAACATTCTTGTTGACGCTGTTTCCGAGGCAATTCCCTTTGATTCCGGAGAAAATGTCCTAAGCTTTCGTACTCAGTACGACGAAAATTATCAGAGCAAGGTAGCATCTTTTCAAACATATCCAAGCTCACTTACAGGTGCATCCATAAATGCTGTAGATATAACCTATATCTATGCATTTTTATGAGGCAAAGTGATTAGTAAAACCAACCGATAACTGACCAAGAGGAATCGGCTGGGATCGACCTCCGAATGACTGCACCACACACTTTTACTCAAAATGGAAATTAGCTTAATACTTATGAAACAAGAAAGTTCTCGAAACCCAACTTTTCTTCTAAAATACATTTAGATATAGCTTCCAACCGGATGACTCCGCTGCATTTCGTATTGGCTTTACGGTCAACTTTAACTGTCACAAAAGATCTCATAGATGGTCTTAAAGCCAAACTTATGGAATCGCAAGGGAAAAATTGAGAAGTGGAAAATTAATTCACTTCTTCAAAGGGACACTTGAGCATCTTCAGCTTACGGCATGCCAAAAACATGCTAGAAGGGAATTAGGTCCTTTAAGATTGATTTTTAATAATAGGTGATATGTGCTGCATAAGTATTCACATTTCTTATTCAGGCAGTCGAGGAAAGTGCTGATTTTTTTTTGTTAAGAATTCATTTGAATTTTTTAGATTGACAAATCAACAAAGTATTAGAGAAGGGGAACTTTTGGTGAGTCTCCATGTGGTTGCAATGCATACTGACA